ATCGAGGAGCTCTTGTAGACCGGGTAGCTCGGGTCTAACTCGGGCATGCAACACAGAGGATACGTCGCCAGGCTTCGCCGAAGGGGAGTCGTTGGCAGGTGATCAAGCTGCCGGAGTTCCACTCCGGGGGGAATCACAGAGTTCTCCAACTAGGGCGGAAATGCCCCTAACCTTTTATACGGCTAGCGAGCCAATTGCCAGCCACCATGTGGGAATAATTTAACATCGGCCAATCGTATTATGCAAATCTGCATTTCCTCGGCGGGAACTCTATCCACGCCGGAACTCTTCACCATGCTGAGACTTCCCCTGCCTTACCATGCCTTGTGCTAGAAAGTTCCACTGTGTCGAGGCACTGATCCAAATCAGCTCTGACAATCTTCAAGTTTCCATCTCAGCCAAAAATGTAGATAATGCTCCATAAAAACAAGACCTAGCTTTCTATTTAACCTGCTCTGCCCTTCTGGAAGGTCAGGTTGGAGTCTTCCTTGTCTTCTCCTGCCTACTTATTTCTCTTTGCAGTAGAAAATTAAACAAAGTTCCATTTCTTGTATCTCTTATCCAGTGTATAAGATCCAGCTCCTGTATATCCTGATTGGTTGCTTATGATGTAATGTCACCTGTGGTGGGACTGGTATTAACATTATGTTCTAAAATGCTGATGTCTGTGTGTATTTGTGGGATTTCAAAGCAAACAGAGGCTCTCTCCCTGCCATATAAATTTCCCTTTCAACTGGGAGACTTAAAGGAGCCTCAGAGGCAATGAGCTGCAGCTGCCCCTTGCCTGCTTTGTGTTCCTCTGTTTAAACAGGTGCTAAAGTGTCATGGTAGTAATGTGCCAGACTGGGCACAGTGATCTCTATCGGTGTTGCATAATTGGATTTTATGAGTTGGCAGGATCACTCTGTTATTTCATACAGAAATGTGAATGTAAGAATAATAGTGACACTAGCATTTAATGGGTTCAAGCCTATTTTCCTTGAGTAAATAATGAGTAGCTGGCTTCTCTTCTGTATGCAAGACCTCAGCCTTTTCTCAGTAGCTATTGCTGTAAGCTGGCATTTTTAAATGCTAATAGTGCCCTGGTTTTTGCAGGTGGGCGCAGGGCAGTGACCATGGTTTGGGAACTGGGGAAGTTGGATTTATAATGCAAGCCACTACAGCATCTGCCTTTTTGGCTCCACAGGATGAGAGGGGAGGTCTAAACTCCAGCCTTTGAACCTCCAAGACAATAAGCCAGATGACTCAATGGCCAATGCTAGGCACTGGTGTGAGTGAAGAGGGGTGGTTTCTCTCCATTGTGATAATAGGGACAATGAGGCTCTGATTGGAATTCTCTTCCTAGCTCAGCTTCTGTTAAATCACTGCAGCAGCTGAGCATTGGCTTGTGCCATCCACATGCCAGGGCCAGGGGTGGTCAGGGCTGTACCACTGGAAGCCATCATTGGAGCTGGCAGTGGAGTATTAACTGTTAGGATGCCACTAGCCTTTGTCAGCTATTTGAAGGAATAAATGTGGATGGCTCTTCTCCAGCAGCCCAGCTATGACTGGAAGGCAAACTCTTGGAAAGGTTTCAGTTCCCTAAAGAAGGCTGGGGTTGAATATAAAGTCTCTGTAAGAGCCAATTTGTTTTTTCAAGTATCAGTTGATCTACGCCTCTCTGCCCTGTACGAGATGTTGTGTGTCCCCACTTCTGCAGGCGGGGAGAGGGAAGCAAAAGGCTGCTTTATAGTCACAGCCAAAGAGGAGATCACTGTGGGGCCAGAGCAGATTTTAGCAGTTGCTGGTTCCATCTCCTCTGCCAAACCCGATCCAGGATCCTAGAACTGACTCGGTCTTTAGGCAGGGAGCAGGACCCCCTGCTTGAAGCCAAGATGAGCTTTTCACCATGTATTTTTAAAAGATCCCCATCGCTCAGAGCACAAATTGATCACTAACTGCCTGGGCTCTGAAACAAAACATCTGCCTAGAGGGGAAGTTGGCTTAATTGTCTGCTGTGGGAGTTTCTTGTGCTCTCCCCCGCGGCTCTGGGATTAGCTGTTGTCAGAGGTCATCACCAGCGGCAGGATGCTGGATCCCAGGTCTCATCCAGCCACTGGGCCGAGGCTCAGGAAGCAGAGGGAGGGCTGTGATCGAAGAGGGAGAGATGTAGGCAAGCCCCAACCTGTTTTAAGGTGGTTTCCCCTACCTCTTTTCATGTACTACACGATAAAGACCATTCTGGCAGGGTGGGCAAGCTTGAAGAAGCGACAGGATGACATCCTGCATTAGACTCGAGTCAAAGAGGGCTGCGCTGTGTAACTTGTCTGGAAGGCTGTTTCCAGGAAACAGCTGATGAAAGGGAGCCCGGAGGTTGCTGTAATACATCAATTAGCCTCCTCCGAGAAGAAGCATTGCATCTGGCGATTAACGGAGGCTGGCTCTCGGGCAGCGTGGGAGGAAGTGGAGGAAAGATGATTTCCTTGCGGGCGTGACCTGCCCCGGCCATTCACTCAGACACGGCTCTGGCCCCCGCTTTCTCCTCGCGGCTCCCGGCGCGTGTGCCGGATTTTCTGGTTTTAATTTCGGCTGATAACGGGAGCCGGGACGAGGGTCAGGGTCACGCTGCGGCTGTAGGAGGAGCCACGGTGGCCAAGTGGGAGCATAGAAACTAGGGTCTGGATTAAGTTAGTGACTAAGCGCTGCTGGGAACAGGTGCCAGCGGGGATGGAGTGGGTGTGGCCTCCCTGGAGCCCGTGTGTGTGTGTGTGTGTGTGGGGGGGGGTGGT